CATTTAGATAATAATGGTCTTTAGTAAGAATTAACATTGTTTTGCAACGTAGTATTTCAGAGGAATATATTTTCCAGCGACCGAACATTTATTTTATGTTGCGAATGCTATTTAAGCCGTTGACTTTTGTTCTCGCATTATTGCGATAATAAGCGTTTTGTGCCATTTAACTCAATTTTTTTCTTGTTTTGCTGAGCGTGTAGGCACAAGTATTCATGCATTGTGACTTAGGCAGAAATTTACTATGCATTAAAGGATTATGACGAGGTTTAGACGATATAAATACATTTATTTAGCCAGCAGAGCCGTTTTCCAATACATTTCGTTGAATGCTATTTGTCTGATTATTCCTTCTCAATACCACTGCACGTACGGTAAACATTTGGGTCGTGCTATAAGCAAGCTAATTGGCGCCACAAGTGGGTCAAGAATTGGGAGTTAAAGGGCCAGCAGTAGGTCAGCATGACCCACATCTGGGGGATGTGGGTCATACAAGTAGATCAATTATGGGACGGGCCATGACTCACCTAAGTGGGTCATCCAGACCCACCCATTTCTCTCAGTGTAGATGGGTAACATGCAGCACTCCTCTAAATGAAGCATGAACATCATTCCTCTATGGGGCAAAAGCAGCACTCCTCTCTATGGAGCAGGAACATCACTCCTTTAGATATGGGGCATATACATCACTCCTCTAGATGGGGTCTGCCTCACATATCACCCGTCGCACGTTACTGCACAGCGTGTTGCTGAAGCGGTACATCCACACGCAGCTCAGCTCCAGGCAGTTCTCCACGCCTGGCTCGTTGGGTTTTAGCTCCCCGTAGTAAGCCTGTGCATAAAAAACTTTTATTACTTTTGTTAAATCAGTGTTATGAAGCAGAAATGAATATATTTATTGTTTCATTTACAGTATTTCCAGAGATATATCACGATCCTGGATTCATTTCATGATCCTGGAGTTTTGTATCACCAAAATGAATTTATCCCAACCCACGATTAATCTTTTAAATCTACTGTGTTTTTGAATGCATTTCTTACTGAATTCGTTTTAAAATTCGGTTTTGTCATGAGTTTGCGATAAAGCTGTTATATACATTTATTCGAAATTTCTACTAAAAGGCATTTACTTCAATTTACCTTACTGATATAATTTCAGATTTGACTGGAACACAATTCACTGTCAAAGTGTGCTTCTATAGTCAATTGATTTCAGGTATCTACAGCCGAGGGAAGTAACTTTTGTTTAGAAGTTTATACACGTATGAGAATATAAGTGTCACAGTCAAAAATTAGTGCGTTAAAGAAATAAAATCACCAAACAAAATCATGCAGCAAATAGCCATAAAATCGACTGAATAAATGCTGCTGGTAACCAAATAGATTTTTCATAAAACGAAATGTTACTTATAAAATTAATTTTATTTGTAGTTGCTTGAACAAGCGAAAGAACTTTGCGAAATCTTGTCCATGTGAGGACAGAAAATTATGTTTGTAGTATCTCAAACGCAATGTGAACATCTTCCATTTGCATAAGGCCCTAGCTGAGAGGTGAATTTAGTGCCCACAATTACACTAGTAATTAACTATGTGGCAATGCCCCTATCCTGATGATTACATTACCTACATATAGTTTCGTGAGAAAACGTTTCATTTCCATGATTTACATAATCTGATATGAGTACGCACTTCAGAGTTTGCAATTCATTTTTTCCTGCACTTCTTTTAAACATTCAGGAGTCAGGATCCTTACATTTCCCCAGTAAGGCAGCCCCATGGCCATCGGCGAACCGTCAACCCAGCGCCATTGCCCTTCCACGGCCCTATCAGAGCCTCCGATCCAATAGTCTTGGTAACCTTATCCAGAAAAGAGATGAAAAAATATAGATGATAAGGAATTGGGTTTAAAATTATTAATTAGGATAAAACCACTGCCGTTTTCCTAGCACTCACTGTGTACGTGTCAATAAATTATGAAAGGGGAGGACCCCGATTTAATACTCCTGGCAGTATGAGTTGTCCACGTATTGAAGGCGTTAGGCTGGTGGGGGTGACTAGAAATTAATCATGGTATGAATTGACTCCATTTTGACCTTAGTTATGCGGGTCTACACCAATCGCATGTTAAACCTCAATTTCCCAGCTCTGTACTTAGTTATCGTGATTAAATTTAACCATACAAGCACCATTAGCGCTTGGTAGGCAGTGTTTATTTTGAAAGACTATATGGAACTTTTCAAACGGTTACCTTGTTCAGCGAGGTAGAGGGAAACCTTTTGATACTGCTCGCAGTCGTCTAAAATAATCAGATCCCCACCGACCAGTCCACACTGGGTGCGAGCGTCGTGCCAGGCGTATGTGGCCGGAATTATGTGAATACATTGAGTGCCAAGCAACACAAAGGTATTCACGCAGATACCTGCAGTAGAGTACATAATCAAGATGTTATATATGAAATGAATGAATTAAGATCACTTGATTCCCTAAATCAAAAGTTCATCAAGGATTTGAAAGCAAATATAATAGCCAAAAAATTCACTATTTCTTATGCGAGAAAATGTTTCGGAGTCCAGCTCCATTTTCAATTCAAAGAGCTAAAACACAAGCACAAACAAATAGCAAACTAAAATTCGCATAGAATATATTAAAACATAAATTTATTAATGAAAACAAATAAGAATGAGGTAAATATGAGCAGACAAACCTTTCTATTTACAATTTCGAGGGTAAATAAACTGTAGGCGGCATTTGGACACCAAGTCAATCGCCAATGTGGGCAACGATGTCGATTAGTGTGCGTTACTGCATAACGCGGAAGATCCGACTACTCGAAGATTTGGAAGTCGAATTTCCCAGTATAGTCTATGCAGAAGCATGGCGAACTATCGACTGTGGGTTTATCGTTGCAGATCGAAGTATCTGAGTGTGGGCAACTTTACAGGGCAAACCGAAAAATTCATGCGCGAACATGTCGGTTGGCTATTCAATCTAATAGAATAATAAATCGGAAATTGATATGCATTTTAATTTATGATTACCCAGCTAAAATTGTGTTCATAATTGTGTTCAATCTCGTTCAAGTGATAGAATGCGCTATTTCGCGTTAATTTCTAATGCCAGTTACGATTATTATACCACGTATTTATTTTAATATTTTGAAATACGTAAGTGTTTTACTAGCTTTCTCAGTTTGAATGCTTCCGCAAAGAGGAACGTTTGAGCCTTGATGATACCTTAACTTAATAATGCTCTGGAGATAACGATTAGTTTGCATTAAAATTTTTTACTAACGTGAGTGTAAAGAAAACGATTTTAAATGCATCTTATTAAATGATATAAATCTCCTACTATCGACTAAAAGTCGTTTGAAGAAACTGCTTCAAAGCATAGCAATATTTTTATTTAAAAAGATCCCATCATAAACTTCTTCAAAGTTCATATTCAAAAGTTTTCAAACAGCTGATTATCGTGTTCCATTAATCTTGACAAATTTGCCTCAAGTTTTCAACGAGGCTGATTTGTGGCAATAAAAATATTGAGAAATCAATTTCGATTTGAATTTATCAGCTCAATTATAAAATTTATATGAACTTGAGAACGAACTTGTAAATAAATTGAGGAAATTTTGAAATAACGGAATTTCGCTTGCCCGAAAATCAGGAGAAACAGTGCTTGTCTGTCTCCTTTACAATACGAGTAATATTCTTTTTTCGATTGAATAGAAGCTGCGATCATTCCTCTAAAATAAATATAAATGAATAATCTGTAAACAGTTCCACCACAAATGTGGCTATTCCTCGATTTACCTGACGATTGCAAGCCATTCGTTTTGCAAAAACAGTATGTAGTTGATAGAGCTCAGTATGGTAAGGTGTCTTGGTGGGCAAGGTGGCTGAGGCGTGAACTCGGACGCGAAATTCCCGCGTTCGAATCTCGGAGCGGCCGCCGAATTTTATCCAGTAAGAAAGAACACTTAGCGGTGAATTACTTGTTACTTCTCTGCATCATTAGTACTTGAATTTATAAGATTGTAATTGATATCACAGGTGTATATGCGATGTAAATGTGAAAACTATCTATTATATATTACTATCTATATTAGCGAAAACTATCTAATCTGACTTGTCATAGTAAAGAGTAACGTGTCGGTAATCTCGAAGAGAGAGAAAAAGAATAATTTAAAATTTGTTTTCGCGTAGTCGACAAACGTTCAAACTCAACTACCGGGCATTCGACAATTAATATGGATTAGACATCGATCAATGTAGTTTCGACGTAGATCAATGATGATTCGACATCGATTAATGCAGATTCAACTTCGGCTACTGTAGATACGACATCGTTCGATACAGATTATTCTACTCAACAAGTTATCGGGTGCAGAAACTTTGAAGACCTGTACTAAATCGGCATAGAATTCTCCCCTTTAATCGGTGGTGCGCCCGCAACATTGCTCCCCTACAGTCCCCATCCAAATTGGGTTTTGCCTTCGTCGATCTGCATCAATATTCTTGATCGAACCACATCAATCTCCGTCGATCGATCAAGACCTGATTGACTGGGCAAGACTTTTGTTTGAAAATATACTGGGACTCTATGATTCGCAAATCTGAAAAACCGGTTCTTGATAATCTTGGTTCTTGTTTGGGCCATAGCAGTCCCAGGCTACGATGGATCGCCGCCTCTGATTATCGTTCATTCGCCCTCATTTGAGCCATCTGATGCACTATGCTGTTGCTTGCTTCTCGCCGCTGGTAGTGCTGCATGGGAGGTCGATCTGGTATTGTGCCCAGGAAAACCTCCAGTTGTCTCTTGAAGTTCTCCAGGGTGAACTCCCCCTCTCTTAGATCCTTTGGTAGGACGTTAAACAGCCTTGGCCCTGCCACGGAAAGTGATCCTTCCCGCAGGGATTGAAATCTGACTGCAGATCTGTTACGTAATGGGGGGATCTTACACAGTCTCCCCCTTCTCTCGTTGTGATATGTCTCAATCCTGAAGGTCTCGCTCTCGAAGTTTGGCAACATTCCGGTTATCATTTTCCATGTGTACAGAATGACATACCTCTCCAGTCTCCTCTGCAGTGAGTACAGACCCAGGCGCCTCAACCTCTCCCAGCAATTCAACTCTTCCATCCCTCTGATCCGGGATGTGAAGGTTTGCTGGACACCTTCCAGTTGCCGCACTGCGCCGAGTGTGAACGGGGTCCAGAGCTGGCAGCAGTATTCGAGAATTGGTATTACAAGGGCTCTAATGAGTGTGATCATCGGTTCCGCTTCTCTTGTTCTGAACGTCCGCCAGATCCACCCCATCTGTCGCCTACCTCTTGAGGTTATTGCCGTTACGTGGTCACCAAAATTGACCTGAGTATTCATCAACACTCCTAGATCATGAACCAGTTGTTTCTCTTCGATTTCCAAGTTGTCAGGTGCTAGGTAGCGGTGCTCCATACCAGCTCTACCGCTACCTCTGTGTCTCAGAACCTCAAACTTGGTCCCGTTGAACTGCATGTTGTTCACTTGGGCCCAGTCATATATTGCAGAGATATTCTCACCTCTCACCCCGTATCCCGTCTTCTCGCCTCTCACCCCGCATCCCGTCTTCTCACCTCTCACCCTGCATCCCATCTTCTCACCTCTCACCCCGCATCTCGTCTTCCCACCTCTCACCCCGCGTCCCGTCTGCTCACCCCGCATCCCGTCTTCTCACCTCTGACCCCGCATCCCGTCTTCTTACCCCGCATCCCGTCTTCACGCCTCTCACCCCGCATCCCGTCTTCTCACCTCTCACCCTGCATCCCATCTTCTCACCTCTCACCCCGCATCTCGTCTTCCCACCTCTCATCCCGCGTCCCGTCTTCTCACCCCGCATCCCGTCTTCTCACCTTTCACCCCGCATCCCGTCTTCTCACCTCTCACCCCGGTTAGCTGTGGCAGCGCGCGTCTGCGTATGTCGGTATGACATGATGCAAATTTTATACTAGGCTGGCGTAGCATAAAGAATAACTGCTTTCGCATCCCATCATTCAGCAGTACACGCTCATGCCGAGCAGTGCACCGTCACGGTGTCCGATAGTGATTTTGGAGTTTAAGCCATCACGACCGGGTTTTCTGACCTGTGAATTTTAGAGTCTCTGTACATTTTTAAACAAAAGCCTAGTCTAAATGCAGCCTACAGTTCATATCTGCTGGAAATTGTAAGTAGATAGGTTAGTCTTCTAATGTTTACCTAATTCTTATTTGTTTTCATTTGATAATTTGTGATTTTACATATATCAACATATATGAATTCCGTTTGCTAATTGTTTTGTACTTGTGTTTTAGGTTTTTGAACTGGCGATGGAGCTGAATTCGGAAACGTTTTTTCGAATAAGTAATAGTGAATTTTTTTGTTATTTTCTTTGATTTTGATGATTCTTTGCTTTGAATGATACTAGATTATCAAATCTTGGAAGCTGGATATTAGCTCCCGGACCTGCTGAAGTTTAAGAAGTCATTGCATAAGAGATTAGCTCTGCTTTGCCTATGGTCCAGCCTCTCGTGCTTTCAATCTGAATTTACCAAGTTTATTCCAAGACCCTACATCCTGTTTAAAACGAATATTCATCATTCAAAACTTTACGCTAATACCAGAACAATAGATATTGCCATGCAACTATTATCGTAAACGTATTAGGTGTAACAAGCAATGTTCATGGAACCCTCGGGTACAAGGTGTGCCGGATGTCAGTGAATATCTATTGATGCAAGCCTCATGTTAAATACGTAACATGTCGCAGTAAGATCAGAATTAAATCAAGCAAGATAAAACGATCAAAAATTCAGAAGTAAACACGTAGACTGTACATATATTTTACCATGCGTATTGAACGAAAATTGAACGCCTAATTCTTTTATTAAGCTGGTGAACTGAAAATTTTTTAACTCTCCTTCATCATGGCTTCTTGCCTTTTTCATAATCTTGATAAGCGTCTACTGAATTATTTCACACTTGGGCGATAAAATTTTCTAAGGTAACAACCTAATATTGAGAGCTAACTCCTGAAAATTGAACAGTTAATTCAAAATTACTTACAAACTAATAATAATTTTTTGCGTATTTGCTAGCTTTGCTTGTGAAATTCTTTTTCACAAGCTTAATTTTTAGAAAGCTTTTTTTTAGAATTTTTTTTTTCACAAGCTTAATTCTTTTTCACAAGCTTAATTCTTAATTTGGCAGCGACCGCGTAAAATAATCAAATTCTTGGAACGAATTCCTCTACAAAGTGTTATGTCACACAATTTTTCTGTTCAGGCTACCTTCCAAGGCTTCACAACAGAAGTGTAACTCACCATCTACTGAAGGTCTTGAGCACACTGGATATATAGAGTCGGAACATTCATGGTCCCGGAATAACCAGCCCGATTTGGCACGTGAAAACACGCAGTTCTCACTCGTT